TTGGAAAAAGAAATTTACGAACCCTTCGTACAAAATTGGCCTTAAGTACTTATCACATTCCTGTAATCTTGACAACATTTTTCTACTAATTAAATATTCATATCGAGACAGATTTGTAAATTAATCTAGGTAGTGTTTTTGGAGCTGGTGTCTAGAAGTGGGATAATGTTATTAATGATTAGGTTGAACTTTATTTTTATATTCAATATATTATGAAATATCAGGTTTTATGATGGTTTCGTGTATTTGTAAATTTTCTGATAATCTGCCATTTGTAAATACATGTCACAAATAAAAAAAAAGGCATAGGCATTCATGTGCTGTGTTATTTTTATTTGTTATCTACAATGTATAATCTTGACCCAGTATTTTATAAACAACACTGATATCCTATTGCCAAAATTATCTTCTGGGGGCAAGATTGTTACACTTAAATCATCATTACATGATCCAGCATACAGTCAGATACCGAGTATTGCTGAAGCAATAGGTATTCCCTACCAGCCTATACAAACTGTTACATGGTAACTATCTATAAAGATGCTGCTGTTTGGTGTTTACTTGGCAAGAACAAAAAGAAGTATACATTCAACTGGTTTGTAATTATCTTTAACGGAACAATGTAAAGATCAGTTTATATGTACATAGTCTTGTTTCACAACTGCTCATATTTAGAATGCAATTGTCTAACAGATAAGTCAAAAATATCATAACATTTAGCTGCATATACATTCCGTTACAGATTTGTTGACTGTTCTATCCCATCTAATGGCTCATATAACATTTCCTTCTGTAATCACTCTCAACTTTCTTGGGGTCAGTCTAAGTGACTGATGCTTCACTGTTCTTTCCTACATCTTTGTTGACAGTCTATTTGGAAATAGATCATCAAAATTTACGAACCCTTCGTACAAAATTGGCCTTAAGTACTTATCACATTCCTGTAATCTTGACAACATTTGTTCTACTAATTCAATATTCATATCGAGACAGTTTTATAAATTAATCTAGGTAGTGGTTTTGGAGCTGGTGTCTAGAAGTGGGATAATGCTATTGATGATTAGGTTGAACTTTATTTTTATATTCAATATATTATGAAATATCAGGTTTTATGATGGTGTTCGTGTATTTGTAAATTCTCTGATAATCTGCCATTTGTAAATACATGTCACAAATAAATAAAAAAAGGCATAGGAATTCATGTGCTGTGTTATTTTCATTTGTCATCTACAATGTATATCTCGACCCAGTCTTTTATAAATAACACTGATATCCTATTGCCAAAATTATCTTCTGGGGGCAAGATTGTTACACTTAAATCATCATTACATGATCCAGCATACAGTCAGATACCGAGTATTGCTGAAGCAATAGGTATTCCCTACCAGCCTATACAAACTGTTACATGGTAACTATCTATAAAGATGCTGCTGTTTGGTGTTTACTTGGCAAGAACAAAAAGAAGTATACATTCAACTGGTTTGTAATTATCTTTAACGGAACAATGTAAAGATCAGTTTATATGTACATAGTCTTGTTTCACAACTGCTCATATTTAGAATGCAATTGTCTAACAGATAAGTCAAAAATATCATAACATTTAGCTGCATATACATTCCGTTACAGATTTGTTGACTGTTCTATCCCATCTAATGGCTCATATAACATTTCCTTCTGTAATCACTCTCAACTTTCTTGGGGTCAGTCTAAGTGACTGATGCTTCACTGTTCTTCCCTACATCTTTGTTGACAGTCTATTTGGAAATAGATCATCAAAATTTACGAACCCTTCGTACAAAATTGGCCTTAAGTACTTATCACATTCCTGTAATTTTGACAACATTTTTCTACTAATTAAATATTCATATCGAGACAGTTTTGTAAATTAATCTAGTTAGTGTTTTTGGAGCTGGTGTCTAGAAGTGGTATAATGTTATTGATGATTAGGTTGAACTTTATTTTTATATTCAATATATTATGAAATATCAGGTTTTATGATGGTGTTCGTGTATTTGTAAATTCTCTGATAATCTGCCATTTGTAAATACATGTCACAAATAAATAAAAAAAGGCATAGGAATTCATGTGCTGTGTTATTTTCATTTGTCATCTACAATGTATATCTCGACCCAGTCTTTTATAAATAACACTGATATCCTATTGCCAAAATTATCTTCTGGGGGCAAGATTGTTACACTTAAATCATCATTACATGATCCAGCATACAGTCAGATACCGAGTATTGCTGAAGCAATAGGTATTCCCTACCAGCCTATACAAACTGTTACATGGTAACTATCTATAAAGATGCTGCTGTTTGGTGTTTACTTGGCAAGAACAAAAAGAAGTATACATTCAACTGGTTTGTAATTATCTTTAACGGAACAATGTAAAGATCAGTTTATATGTACATAGTCTTGTTTCACAACTGCTCATATTTAGAATGCAATTGTCTAACAGATAAGTCAAAAATATCATAACATTTAGCTGCATATACATTCCGTTACAGATTTGTTGACTGTTCTATCCCATCTAATGGCTCATATAACATTTCCTTCTGTAATCACTCTCAACTTTCTTGGGGTCAGTCTAAGTGACTGATGCTTCACTGTTCTTCCCTACATCTTTGTTGACAGTCTATTTGGAAATAGATCATCAAAATTTACGAACCCTTCGTACAAAATTGGCCTTAAGTACTTATCACATTCCTGTAATTTTGACAACATTTTTCTACTAATTAAATATTCATATCGAGACAGTTTTGTAAATTAATCTAGTTAGTGTTTTTGGAGCTGGTGTCTAGAAGTGGTATAATGTTATTGATGATTAGGTTGAACTTTATTTTTATATTCAATATATTATGAAATATCAGGTTTTATGATGGTGTTCGTGTATTTGTAAATTCTCTGATAATCTGCCATTTGTAAATACATGTCACAAATAAATAAAAAAAGGCATAGGAATTCATGTGCTGTGTTATTTTCATTTGTCATCTACAATGTATATCTCGACCCAGTCTTTTATAAATAACACTGATATCCTATTGCCAAAATTATCTTCTGGGGGCAAGATTGTTACACTTAAATCATCATTACATGATCCAGCATACAGTCAGATACCGAGTATTGCTGAAGCAATAGGTATTCCCTACCAGCCTATACAAACTGTTACATGGTAACTATCTATAAAGATGCTGCTGTTTGGTGTTTACTTGGCAAGAACAAAAAGAAGTATACATTCAACTGGTTTGTAATTATCTTTAACGGAACAATGTAAAGATCAGTTTATATGTACATAGTCTTGTTTCACAACTGCTCATATTTAGAATGCAATTGTCTAACAGATAAGTCAAAATTATCATAACATTTAGCTGCATATACATTCCGTTACAGATTTGTTGACTGTTCTATCCCATCTAATGGCTCATATAACATTTCCTTCTGTAATCACTCTCAACTTTCTTGGGGTCAGTCTAAGTGACTGATGCTTCACTGTTCTTCCCTACATCTTTGTTGACAGTCTATTTGGAAATAGATCATCAAAATTTACGAACCCTTCGTACAAAATTGGCCTTAAGTACTTATCACATTCCTGTAATTTTGACAACATTTTTCTACTAATTAAATATTCATATCGAGACAGTTTTGTAAATTAATCTAGGTAGTGTTTTTGGAGCTGGTGTCTAGAAGTGGGATAATGTTATTGATGATTAGGTTGAACTTTATTTTTATATTCAATATATTATGAAATATCAGGTTTTATGATGGTGTTCGTGTATTTGTAAATTCTCTGATAATCTGCCATTTGTAAATACATGTCACAAATAAAAAAAAAAGGCATAGGAATTCATGTGCTGTGTTATTTTCATTTGTCATCTACAATGTATATCTCGACCCAGTCTTTTATAAATAACACTGATATCCTATTGCCAAAATTATCTTCTGGGGGCAAGATTGTTACACTTAAATCATCATTACATGATCCAGCATACAGTCAGATACCGAGTATTGCTGAAGCAATAGGTATTCCCTACCAGCCTACACAAACTGTTACATGGTAACTATCTATAAAGATGATGCTGTTTGGTGTTTACTTGGCAAGAACAAAAAGAAGTATACATTCAACTGGTTTGTAATTATCTTTAACGGAACAATGTAAAGATGTAGGTATGGCAACGTGACAATAGCCTTGTCATCAGTCTGTAATGATGTATCAGTAATTGTGTGAGGTCTGATCAAAATCCTATAAAGAATGGAGCCTTTTATAAATAGTAACAGTGACCTTGATCTTGACCCAATCACCCTGAAACACAAACTTGTCCAAGACATTTAGATGCTTAATAAGTGTATTTGATGAGAATTCCTCAAGGAATGCAGCAACTAGAACACCCAGACTAGTTTCAATGGCAGAGAGTCGCATAACTAGCCAATCTGCAGTCTCCTTGGGTGTCGAGCTGATTGTCATACCATCTAATAAAGTGAAATGAAGGGAAGTAAATCTGGTACGTCAGAATGATAAATAGCCTATTCAGTCATTTAATAAACCATGTCAGATATTTTGTGACATGCTTGTAATGATATCATTGTTATGTCATCATACCTAGTCTTGTTACTAAATTCTACAAGTCAAATATTTCCTCTCTCAAAGGAAAACTAATAGCAGGATTTCCATCTTGTTTCTTGCACCTGCAAGTTACATGATAAAATAGAATCTAAAACTTTAATAACCGCTGAAAGGATCTGATCATGCCAATAAAACCATAATCATGGTAAAGAATGTATTTTTTGTGATTCAGATTTTCAAGGCTTAATCAAAAGTTTGAAGAAAAGTGGGTGTGTTTTACACGGAAGTCATGAAATGATCTATCTTTTCTCTATTGACTTTCTCAAACTTGTATGTGCTTTGGCAGTAATCTAATAATGAGATATCACACCGTACCAGTAGATAAAAGACATGTTAACAGCATTGCAAATTTCAAATAATACCATGACAAACAGAAATTACTTCTCAGATTTATTTTATAATAATAAATATTTTCAAATCAGCTTTCACAATTAAAAAATATTTTACATGTATTTTCATACATCTTATTTGCTAAATCGTTGATGTCTTCATTTCTCGCAGCAGCCATCACCTCCAAAACTTGGCTGAAATGATAAAAAACAAGTGATCAGGTGTTTTATTGAAATTTCTGTAATACTTTAATCTAACAGTGTGACAAGTATCTTGTTGAGTTGGACTATAACACAAGCCTCCCCAGTTACTTCTGTAGTCATTTGATAATGCTGCTGAAGTCATGGGGTGAGGGGGTAATTTCACGACTTCTATAGGTAAACTACATACGTGGGTGTTGTTTTTGTAATCAATTTTCATTTTATTTCATCTACAGAATTTAAGCACATCAAAAATATTACGCACAAGGAAATTTTTGCAATCTAACAACCTTTGCATTATTAGCGTAAATTTCGCCCTCACTTCCCTGTTATAGTAAACAGAGCAAGGTACTACTTCATTTCTTAATTTTTCAACTGCATAACAAAAGAACACACAATCATCATTGAAACATGTCTGTCACATGATACCTAAGTTTTTTCACATCTATCTGACACAATGGCCACGCTTTTGAAATTAAGTAAGTCTGTTAGAATAGCCTTTCAATTTAGCAAGGACAGACTGAAGAAATGTATCAGTTCCATCAATGTTATCAATCTTGCATGCTACATAAGACAGCGTGATATCTTACATAATATGAACAGGCTCATTTCGACCTTTGATGCACACTCCTTTTTCCCACTTCTCTTTCTTTTTGGACGGAAAGGTTGTTTTGATAAACTTTGACCCTGCATGGGTAGGACGAATGTCGCACCAGGGAGCATCTGAAAAACAAATATTTATCAATGAGGTTTGAACAAAGTAGCTTAATTGATTCCTGTTATGTATCCAGGAGTGGTCTATAACTACCAGTTTACTGGGAGACCTCCTGTCTGTATCCAGGAGTGGTCTCTAACTACCAGTTTACTGAGAGAACTCCTGTCTGTATCCAGGAGTGGTCTCTAACTACCAGTTTACTGAGAGACCTCCTGTCTGTATCCAGGAGTTGTCTATAACTACAAGTTTACTGTGAGACCTCCCGTCTGTATCCAGGAATGGTCTATAACAATCAGTTTACTGGGAGACCTCCTGTCTGTATCCAGGAGTTGTCTATAACTACCAGTTTACTGTGAGACCTCCTGTCTGTATCCAGGAGTGGTCTCTAACTACCAGTTTACTGGGAGACCTCCTGTCTATATCCAAGAGTGGTCTATAACTACCAGTTTACTGGGAGACCTCCTCTCTGTATCCAGGAGTGGTCTATCAATACAAGTTAACTGGGAGACCTCCTGTCTGTATCCAGGAGTGGTCTCTAACTACCAGTTTACTGAGAGAACTCCTGTCTGTAACTACCAGTCTCTCTGTATCCAGGAGTGGTCTATAACTACCAGTTTACTGGGAGACCTCCTGTCTGTATCCAGGAGTGGTCTATAACTACCAGTTTACTGTGAGACCTCCTGTCTGTATCCAGGAGTTGTCTATAACTACCAGTTTACTGGGAGACCTCCTGTCTGTATCCAGGAGTTGTCTATAACTACCAGTTTACTGGGAGACCTCCTGTCTGTATCCAGGAGTGGTCTATAACTACCAGTTTACTGGGAGACCTCCTGTCTGTATCCAGGAGTGGTCTCTAACTACCAGTTTACTGAGAGAACTCCTGTCTGTATCCAGGGGTGGTCTATAAATAGTTTGCTTAGAGACCTCCTGTCTGTATCCAGGAGTTGTCTATAACTACAAGTTAATTTACAGAGAGACCTAATGTCTGTATCCAATAGTATCTGCATCTTCCTGTAGTTAAGTAACATATTTATTTTATCATACACAGTGATACTGACCTGTTTCAATCATTAATCGGTTGGCTGGTATGGAGCACATCACATCAATATTTTCTTGTGTTTTCAGAGAACTGTAAACAAAGATGGTCAAAAATTTCAATTACAACAATATTGAAATAAACTACACAATTATCTCTGTTTTACACAACCTTTTTTACACCTGATTTTTAACTTAACAGCCATCTAAAAAAAGAAATCCTCATTAAATAATCTTTAATGATAAATATTTGCCAGCAACAATTTCAATACTTTTTATATATGTGATTGTCTTGTTCTTCAGTGAATGTACCCATGTAACAATTTTGTGTGATATAGCGTACTGCTACACCAGGTTATGATAATGACATAGACAGCATTGTGAGATATACACAGATCTTGAAATTCCATTTGATATGTGATTGATGACATTCACCACAAATTTTCGTTTTAGCTCAACAAAGGGTTGCCAACATGAAAATTCTTCAACTAGATTTATAAATTTCAAATGAAAATGATGCTACATATCTATAGAGGACATTGCTTCTATCAGTAACTGTATAACAAAGAAAGACTGACCCCTATGACCCACAAAATATTACCCATAAATGTATGTGAAGTTCCCCGATCTCTCCCATTCAAACAACCCCTGACATCATGCACAACCTTCTCTTACCAGCCATTAATTCCTATACAACCCCTGACATCATACAGGACCTTCTCTTACCAGTCATTAATTCCTATACAACCCCTGACATCATACAGGACCTTCTCTTACCAGTCATTAATTCCTATACAACCCCTGACATCATACAGGACCTTCTCTTACCAGCCATTAATTCCTATACAACCCCTGACATCATACAGGACCTTCTCGTACCAGCCATTAATTCCTATACAACCCCTGACATCATACAGGACCTTCTCGTACCAGCCATTAATTCCTATACAACCCCTGACATCATACAGGACCTTCTCTTACCAGCCATTAATTCCTATACAGTCCTGACATCATACAGGACCTTCTCGTACCAGCCATTAATTCCTATACAACCCCTGACATCATACAGGACCTTCTCGTACCAGCCATTAATTCCTATACAGCCCCTGACATCATGCACAACCTTCCCTTACCAGTCATTAATTCCTATACAACCCCTGACATCATACACAACCTTCCCTTACCAGTCATTAATTCCTATACAACCCGACATCATACAGGACCTTCTCTTACCAGCCATTAATTCCTATATACAGATCTTGCTGTATTATTTCTGCAGCTTCCTCCTTTGTTCCAGTAAAGGAATGGACCTGGAAAACAGGACATGTAAGTCTTTAGTTGTTTAACTGCATTTCTATATTTAAAATTATTTAACCTAAAAATGCTATGAATTTATATACAACTTGCCAATATATCCTTTGATGCAAAGGTATTAAGGCTCAGAATTGGTAAAAGGGGAAATACGGTATTGAAAGATTTACCTTACTTTCACAGAATAAAAAAAAAATATTGTAATAATTATGTGCCAAAAGAGAACGTTAATTTATACACAAAGTGATACAGATTTGATTTAGAAAACACACCACTCCTCCCACAATGCGATCTCTGTTTCTCTTGATGATATCTATGAACTCTCTATGTGCATTCCGTGAGTGTAGAAATAAAGGCAACTTTGTCCTCTCAGCCAGATCCATCTGTTTCTCAAAATATCTACAATATATATGAAATAATGATAAAATCCACCAGTTTTATACAAAGAATATATGTGGTTTGTATTTCTGTACTGTTATATACATCCTCTGCCATCATTTAATGGGGAATAGCAAAGGCATTAAAAGGAATTAACATGTATACCATATTTTCCAATCTATAAACCCAAGTATAAGCCACAGGGCTGGTTTTCAACAATTTATTTTATTTGATCTACATATAAGACGCACCGGAATATAAGCCGCACTCTTTCTTATAATATGATGACCACTATATTGTTTGTGTTTGACAGAACAAAAAATGAAAGGCAGTTCTTATGAAGTGGTAACCATTATGTTTTTTTTTGTTTTTTTTTTAATTCATAATTTTTTCATTTTTTTGGTGCCTACGGGGTTATTAAGGAATTTATGTTGTTTAAGATTGATAAACAGGCATTATATCATATAGTGTATTCATACAATACGAAATGTATATACATGTATATTCTGTGATAAATCTACAAGCAAGTCGTGAGTCCTGTACTCATTGAATTGTGACGGAGCTTGTAGAATTTCTAAATACACTTTAATTTCATATTGTTGGACCCATTGTTTTAGAAATAAAGTTGAAAAAAAAATTCATTAAAATAAATGATAGATTCATCACTAAAGTATATGTGTTCCATGCATACTTTAAAGTATAGTATGCAACAACATGTTTTACTGTGATTCAAGTTAACAAAAAATTAAAAATAAATAAATATTTGTCTCAAGATATCTCAATAATTACAATTTTATAGATTAAAATCATTCACAATGAAATTGCCATCAAATTTCAATTTAACAAGTCAGAGCTACATCTTAAGTAAGTATGTTTTTATTGTTTATTACTTGCTAAATTAGTCTAAACAGTTTCTAGTAAATATATTTGATATGAAATATAAAGTAAATGAAAACTTACTTCATTTGCGTATCCTTAGGGCAAAAATGGAGTCTGTCAAAATCTTTGAATGAAAAAGATATTTTTATTAATGAAAATCAAACTGAAATTTTCTTTTGTGCTTGTTTAGTTTCATTACAAGGGCATTACACTAGCAGTTTGGATTTGATATTTGGATTGAAAGTCAATTAATTACATAGTGGTATGAAGATTCATCAGTTGTATCAATATTGTAAGCAGTTCACTAGATATTTCATGTTAAATTTCTAAACAATGGTATTATCTACTTCAGTTTCATGCGTATATATCTATCTATACATACTTCACTTCCTGAATTGGAAATAGATGTTATCATAACATAAAAATGTCATGACAACTTTCAGATCTCCTATTATAAAAGATCATCTTCAAAGCAAACAGTATTGAACACACTACCAATAAACACCTATAAGGCTTGTTTAATCTGCTATCTGCCCTACAGCACATCTTTGGTGTAGGAACTGTCACAGAACCCTTAATTGACCTTATCAGTGATATGCACAGTGGGATCTACCTGTGCAGTTTTACAGTAAGATATCAACACCCAATAGGTATATGATAAATACTGACTATGTCTGTAGGGCACACTCATCTCAGGCTATCAGATCTGATTGAAACATTGATGGAGTTATCATTTCATCTAAAACATAACCTGTTTATGATAATCTAGCTTACTGACTAGATGGTTATGGCAATGCCTTTGGTAATTTTTCCTGACAAGCAGTAACCATGACTACTGATGACATACAAACAGGACATGACAGGGATATATATAAGTAGTTCAGTAATGTACATACAGCTGAGAGACTGTAATCAGTAAATCTCATGTCCTCTGAAGTTAGATTGTTCATTAGAAAGTATTGTTCTCATCAGGTTTTTTAATACAGCCATGTTCTTGTAATTATACTATGCATACAATTAATGTCCAACATGTCATGTAAAATCATTCATTTTTGTTGTAGTTTTATATTCAAGAATTCATAGTTGCTCCTTATTCATGAATTTGTACACAAAATGATAAATAAAGAACTTAAATATAAACAAAAATGCACCTATTTATAAAACCATGAAAAGTTTGAGCCCCATGAAAAAATGTGGTTTTACAATCGAATGTGTCAACTGATGATAAAGGATTCAGATACATGTAATTCATATTCTAATTAGTTCTAATTAAGACACCTACATGTAAAATCCCAGAAATTTATAAATTATACATGTACCTTCTCTACAATGGCCACCACACCTGGGTTATCTAACTAACCTGTACAAAATCATGCAAAGTCATAAATTACATTCTTCATATGACTCTAACTGATATGGGGATGTTAAAACTCCATAAAAATGCATTAAGATATGATAAATCACATACATAAATCAATCTCTACTATAGCAACCACACCTGATTTCTACATACCTAATCCCATTTCTCCTACAGCCACAACACGTTCCTTGTTGTCCATCACCAAAGTGAAAAGGTCATCGAGGTACTTTTGAGGGTCACTACCTTTATCAAAATCTCCACATCTCGTAGGATGGCACCCCACAGTACAATAGAGAGCCCCTGTAAAACATTAATTTCGGGTATATATTCTTCTGGTATATAGTCAAATATGATGCAAACTTTCTGGAAGAAGCTTTCTGTAATATAAGTGATCTAGTACCAGCGTTCTGTAATATAAGTGATCTAGTACCAGCGTTCTGTAATACAAGTGACCTGATACCAGCTTTCTGTAATACAAGTGATCTGATACCAGCCTTCTGTAATACAAGTGACCTGATACCAGCCTTCTGTAATACAAGTGACCTGGTACCATCTTTCTGTAATACAAGTGACCTGATACCAGTCTTCTGTAATACATGTGACCTGATACCAGCCTTCTGTAATACAAGTGACCTGGTATCAGCTTTCTGTAATACAAGTGACCTGGTACCAGCGTTCTCTAATACAAGTGACCTGGTATCAGCTTTCTGTAATACAAGTGACCTGGTATCAACTTTCTGTAATACAAGTGACCTGATACCAGCTTTATGTAATACAAGTGACCTGATACCAGCGTTCTGTAATACAAGTGACCTGATACCAGCTTTATGTAATATAAGTGACCTGGTACCAGCTTTCTGTAATACAAGTGACCTGGTACCAGCTTTCTGTAATACAAGTGACCTGATACCACCTTTCTATAATACAAGTGACCTGATACCACCTTTCTGTAATACAAGTGACCTGATACCACCTTTCTGTAATACAAGTGACCTGGTACCAGCCTTCTGTAATACATGTGACCTGGTATCAGCTTTCTGGAATACAAGTAACCTGGTATCAGCTTTCTGTAATATAAGTGACCTGATACCAACTTTCTGTAATACAAGTGACCTGGTACCAGCATTCATTTTGTAAAATAAGCTTGTGTGAAAATGCTTATACCAGAAAAGGACATACCCTTAATAGAACTTTAAACATATGTCAAATAAATAAAAATTATTTTTACCATGTGATTTACATAACACCAAAGCTTCTTCTGAATCCTTTAAACTCCCTCCAGTGATCATCATCTGAAAAAGATATTAGATGCTTTTATACAAACACAATGATTCAAGTTCTTACAAATATATATAAATTTACAAAGAAAGAGATAATGTAGGTTTGAATGGTTACCAATCTTGTATAAAGCAAAGAGAAGATTAATCTTATCTGTAAATCAGTAATTAATACTTTTAAATCTCACAAAAAGGCAATTGATTAATAACAAAATGACCCAAGACTACTATAGAGATGTTTTAAAATAGGACTTTTCCGAATTTACTATAGAGATGTCTTAAAATATAGGACTTTTCTAAGACTGCTATAGAGATGACCCAAAAATTACTTTCGTTATGGAAAACCACTGCTGTAATATGTAGTGCTCTCTTTTCTATCACAATTAGAGATTCTGCTTCAGACTGAATCATGTGTTCATTTTACCGATGGTACTCTACTTCAATAATAGTTAAATTGGTAACACATATATTTCATACTCCCCATCCAAAAATACCAAACATGCCATCAATAACAATTCACTGAAATTTTCCCTTATATATGTTTATGCAGAAAGTGTATTAAGTTTTTCCTGATATGTTCCTAAAAAGAAAAAAAAAACTTAGGACACATGGATGTCTCATGCATCATTTTATGGAAATTGGCTGGAGGAGGATGGGGAGGGGGTGTTGCAAAAGAGAAAAAAAGAAGACTTTTGAATGATACAAATATATATCTGTAAGGTGTAGAAATATATATCTTCGGGGGGAAGGGTGGTGTTGCAAAAGAGAAAAAAGGAAGTCTTTTGAATTATACAAATATATATGTGAAAAGTGTGGAAATTTATATCTTCTGTGTAACACTATTGATCTGATACTGGTTTACATGTTGTTGCAGTACCTTTGTCATGCCATATTCAAATGCTCTGTTTAAGATATCAGCAAAGTCATCTGTAAAAGATAACAACATAATGCTTTCACATTCATCACTGCAAGTGGAAAACCAAATCAAAATGATATACTACTATTTAAATGAAAGTTTTCATTGTAAAGAACTAAAATTAATTAAAACTTTTCATAGAGGATTAAAAATTATGTACAGTGCAATACCTTCATGTTTTTTAGACCCATGATAAATTCCTCTAAAAACAGGATCTGTAATGGAAAGAAAAGCATGTGTCTTTATATGTGTCCACCATGAAAACATTTGAGAACTACCGTGTTGATCTATCTTTTAAATTATACATGTAAACAGTAAAAAGAGAAAAAACATGACATGAAAACAAGAACAGAACCTGTCACCTTCAATACGTGAAATGAACATTCATTCATATAATGCTAAATTATTTTTTACCAATACACTGATAACTAATGTAATTCCACTGAAAATAATTGCCTACTTACCAATTGTAAGGAATTTCAATGACGAAGATGGTGCTTTATAAATTAATATAAATAAATATAAAAAAAAAATCAAACATTAAGCCTCAAAAAGTGCATCTATTGATTTGCTTTTTGATTAATCTGTGCATGTACCAGGCCACAAACCAAATGTGATTAATTCCCTCTTTATATATTTTTGACGAATTGGGACAAACCGAGGATACACAAAATTATAATTACCTTCAAAATCAGTAGAAGTAGAAAATACCCTTCCTGGCTTTTTAATACATTATGGTTAAGCGCTGATTATAAGTATTCATAGATCTGAATATATACATAAGTCTCCGAGTCATTTCCATTAACCTGGTATTACTTTTTTTCTTTAATATTCCATTAATCTTCATTTCTTTTTAAATGTTTACTGTTCGGACAAAGTAAATAATTTATCTTACCTGTTAAATTCACACCAATATCTGAAGAAAAAAATAATAATGTTTAACTTTCTATAACAAAAAAAAAAAAACACACACATATACACACACAAACAAACACACAGAAATATACCGTGTAACACGTAGCAAAATGAATTACAGTATTATTTAATCAGACAGTTATGTGATCTCCAATAACCATATTTATTATGTGCAGATATAAACAATCGTTCTTACCAATAAATCTGATCGCAGTTTTAATCGCACTAGCCATATTCAGCTTCCTGATCAAACTTCACAGAAGTCGCTTCTCCACCACTCCAGAGTGTCAAGTCTTAGATTTTGTCGTCTTTGTAATGTGATTGTCAAATATGTCTACGGAACAGATATCCTGTATATGTCAACACTGGGCATAGCGTTGGTAATGAATGATACTTAGCATTTCTATAAACACAAAAATAATGCAATTGCTCAAGAGTCGATTAAAGTTACAGCAGAACGTGGATGTGCTTGTGATAAGGGAAGTTACTCTAATATCAAAACTTTTTTTTAGGTAAAACACTATCAAAATAATAATAATTGATATACGGTATGCTTATTAATTATTGATTTGATATTTCATTATACTAGCAACCGCAACTGTTGTTACACTTTCTCTCGTGTCAGATTAGAGTTTAAGCATACCACGGAGAGTGTTTTTCGCACCTTCACGGTCGCTGATCATGACTTCAGATAACCTTTTATAGCATTGTGATTTTACGCAACGCCTGTCATGCTCCAACAACTATTTCAACTCAAACAAAGTTACTCATACTAATGTTTATATTATATCCTAAATTAAATATAAGCATAGGTGGCCTAGATATGGACATCAATGAAGATTCTGCCTGTAGTATTTGTAAGATTACACGGACCTGTCCCTTTGACAGGAAATAGAGAAAATAAAGAACTGCTCCCTTCTGACGTCACAACTAGCGGGGAATTTGCAAACACGAATAATTGCAAGCAGGTGAGTGTTCGCTGGGATTTTTTAACATATATAAACAGTAAATGTATTTCTGTGGGAATTATCTTCAAAATATAGACAATGCACACATTTCGTAGTAATAATTGCTTCCGATCCCCTGCAAATTTTAGCATTTAGATATAATTCTATTTACAGGGCACTTTTCAAAACAAACAACAATGAAGAAAGATGGTTCATCACAAGTGAGAAGACAGCTCGATTTCCGTGAGAAAATATTGACAAAAACTATATTTTACATCGATATACGAGAGGACGATTTAAAGAAACGAATCACCCGAAGAGTGCGAGACCTGGGAGGTCAGGTTGAAGATTTTCTGTCCAAAGATGTTAATATCTTATTGACCGATTCTAATAGCACCGCCCAGAAAACATCTTCGCTTGCACCAAATGCCAGTACAGATACAAAGGTTGCCGTCCCACTCAGTAGAGGTCAGTATAATACCAGGAATATTTTCCCAATTCCATTATTCCTACAAGAAATAATAAAATATCCAATAAAACATCCATTATTAAAGCCGACCTCCTCCGTCTATTATCCAAACAACACAATGTAGCAAAATCGTTATGTTATCAAAGTTACAACATTGCAGCTCGACTTCAGACAACAAAGTATATTCTAAACTTATGATGTTACATGTATAGTACCAATTATTGACACAATGCAAGAATATAGTTCATAGATTGAATATTTCAGCTTAATTAACAATCAGATATGAAAATCTTCAGATCAGATTGGGTGATTGATTAACCTTTTTGAATAGGAAAGTATGTAATTTCATATGTAGTTTCAACTAAAAAATTAATAAAACCAGCCTTGGTTTAGGCTTTCCATTTTCATCCCTGAACAATAAAGGACATCGGATGTTTAAGATATCTTCTGCATGATGTCGAACCAATGCTAATTCGCTGCAATGATACTTATTTATGCAGTGCGTTATTGATATTAGAAGGACTCGCATACATGCACATTTGAAAATGAAACTGTTTACATGGAACTCTACTTCAATTTGTCTTGAAAAGTCTGAAGTGTTTGATATTAAGGCAGGTTTATAGAAAGCGACAAAAACACCCCATTATCTGATTTTGTCATTAACTTGAATCAGAGATTAACTAAAACAGGTAGAGCCAGTTCTAAGTGAGTTGGAGGATCCATTGACCAATTGATTAAAAAAATTGTGCCAAGAAATAGTTTTAAGCTTTTTTCGGTGCTTTTGAAAATAGAATGTAAGCATTGTTATTCTTTCAAAATTGAAATTATTTCTGTGCCATAAGTTTCATAATTGTATGTAAATAAAGGTAATTTTTTATTCAAATACCTCAACCAGAATTGGATCCTGGTACCTCTGGTTTACTAATCTTATGCTCCTCCAATCCAATCAAGTTAAAGAGAAGATCTCTCCAGCTAAGCAGTATATTACAGCTAGTGTTTACCAGGGTGACATGCTCCCCTTGTTTGAAATATCTTGTAAACATGAGTGATTATGTCTGGCATTTTCTACAACAGTAGGTTATTCAATTACCAAGCCATCAATTATTCATTCCAGCTGTTGTTTAAACATAATGTTATGCCTCATGTATATCAAATGTGGCATAATATTTTAGCCTGTTTTGTTTGGCTGACAGGATAAACTTTGTTCTAAAGGGCACTTCATGCACTCACAAAAATTAAAATGCTTTTTTTTCAATAGCTTAAATTTTTTATTTGGTTTTCTTTCTTATTTTTTGGGATAATTATCCAATTTAATTCTATTTATAACTTGTAATGCGTTACAATGTCTCGAGATATTTCTGAAATTATCAGCATTTCACTAAAGGTCATATCATTATGCCCCAACTGATAATGAAAACAAAACACATGGTTATAAAACATGTCAATTCAACTTCGGAATAGTTATTTTATTGTAGCAGAAATAGGTTGCACAAACTTGTGGTCATGGTATAGTCCATGTATATAATATTTCTTGCACTCTTGTCATTAATTTTCCAATAAGTTACGAAAGAAAATCGCTAAAACTTGTGTAGTTACCTTTGAAAAATAAACAATTCAAGTGAAAGATTAAATACCATGTACCACAACCACTTGATGTGTAATATTAATATAACTTTCTTGTAATGAAAAAGTATCATATGTTTCTGGTATTGCTTCAAATGCTGACATTAAAGAGACATTATACTCCTGGTCTGAATGGTTCTAACTACTGTCTTTTTCCACAATTTGAATATTTTTTCTTTGTGTTTTTGTATTGAATGTGACACAGGTACACCACAAAAAATAAGATCTTCATACCTGACAGTGTTTACTTGTTGGTTGACATGTATATGCCATGTACAAGTTACAACATGAATAATTTTACTTTGTTTTGACTTGAGAATAGTTTCGATAAAGTCAAGAATCCTTAATGTACCAATTGGTACATATATGTGTGTATATCAGACTAAATATGTTCAGGTAATAGAGCCAACGCCGTGTGTTTTCGTGGGGTGGTTAGTAGGTCTCTTCACTCCCCAGCTGGATACCCCCAGGTATGCAGGGTGATTGAGCAAAAGGGAAAATCAGACAATAAGAATCAATCACAACAGTCTGTGGAGTGGTGGTTATTAGTCCTGAAGAAGCCCGGGAGGGCGAAACCGGTAGACGGTATAAGAAACCCTATAAACCATCACTCCACAGACTGTTGTGATTGATTCTTATTGTCTGATTCAGACTAAATATGATTTGTCAAAAAGTGTAACCATTCAATTTCATACTATAATGAGGTACACTTTATAGAGATACTTTAAAATTAAACATGTTACACAGCTATTCCAGTATACATAGTACATATACAGTGCTTCCTGGCCATACAGTGGCGATTCAGCTAGTAACAACAGTATTTATATGACGTTACCTGGTAATAAAACCACTACTCATATAAATTACTGTAGACAAAGATTGCAAACCAATGCTGCTTCTTTGTTCTGTAGCATAAAGCCCAAGCACTGACATTGTTATCAATGTGTCACCCTCTGGGCTTATTGCATAATGAAAATGATATATCCTATCATTAATAAGCTAGTTTATCAAGGTAGAATGATGATAACATTGATATTGATTTTTCTTTCCTTTTTCCCCCCTTTTTTTATCTATTTTTTCTGTTTTTTTTAAATGATTTTTTCACTTTTTTTCAGGGAAAGCACTCTTGTTGAAAGCCACAAAGCAGTCATCATGTCAGCAGTCAGTAAAGGGAACAGACATAGTCCAGAATGCTCTGAATATGGGAGTAAAGGTAGAGAAAGCAAAAGATTTCCTGAAATCTACACACAAGTATGCTCAGAAACTGAAACAGGTCAAAGCCCTACAGTCGGATGGTATTGATGGAATCACACCGCTGCAGTGGAAGAACTCTGATAAAGAAAACTTCATTGTTTTGAAAGTTGAAGATGATAAACAAACATTTAGACCTTTTCTTAAACATTTTAAAGACAGTTTCCCAAAGATTCGATATGATGATGACCTAGCTTCCCCATTTGACAAGGGAGTGACTTTGTGTAGAACTGTGGAGAATAAGACAAAGAATCGGTATTCCACCAAAGGCAAGCCTACAGTGACCACAGGTAAAGGTGGCTTCTGTGAGGCGTGTGATTACTGGTACAGATGCTCTTTACGAGAACACCTTAGCAGCATGAAGCACCAGAAGTTTGTTCAGACAAACACAAACTTTAAACAACTTGATCAGATAATCAACAAAATGCCTAAAATCCAAGACTTTATGTCAAAATTTAATCTTGATTATGTGAGATCTGCTGATAGTGAGCACACCCAAGTTTTATCAGAAAAACTGGATACAAAATGTTCTGTTGAAGATGTGGACAGTCATAAAACTACTATAGAAACCTGTGATACTGTGATGGAAATGTCTGTATCAACTGTGAATCATGATGAGGAATTATCAAATTGTGCCATGGTTATCAGTCCTTCCATAACAGAATGTGGAAATACAAACTGCGAAACAGATATGGCAATGGAAGTAGACATGTCAACATCCAAATACCCATTGGATGAGTGTAGTAGGGACTCTGGAACAGGACCAGAGATTCAAGAGGACATTTCTGTTCCATGTGATTTTGTCCAGACTATAGACAATAACAGAGGCACTGGGTTTATTGTTGATGAAGATTCAGCTTTTCCACAAGATCAGGCATCAAATGATATGACTGATTGTGAAACCACTACTGGAAGTGTTTTGCCCAATTCCACATTATCACAGAGCATCAGTTCTATCAGTTATCCTTGTATAGACAATGAAAATGCTGTATTCCTAGACCTCACTGTGAAGAAAAACAACATTCCAGTTCAAGAAGTAACATCAAATGTTAGGAAGAAGTTGTCTGCCATTGTGATAGCAGATAACAATGTCAGCCCCTTTGAAGGATTCCTTAACAACAATTTCAGTGAAGAAAATAAAGAGAATATTGAAAAC